TTCCTTCACACCAGATGCCCCCCATCACAACATAAGTCCTTCCTTCACATCAGATGCCCCCCATCACACCAGAAGCCCCCCATCACATCATAAGCCCTTCCTTCACATCAGAAGCCCCCCATCACATCATAAGCCCTTCCTTCACATCAGATGCCTCCCTCTTCAAATCATAGGTCCTTCCTTCACATCAGATGCCCCCCATCACATCATAGGTCCTTCCTTCACATCAGATGCCCCCCATCACATCATAGGTCCTTCCTTCACATCATGCCCCCCATCATGCCCCCCACATCAGATGCATCATCATAGGTCCTTCCTTCACATCAGATGCCCCCATCACATCATAGGTCCTTCCTTCACATCATAGGCCCTTCCTTCACACCAGATGCCCCCCATCACATCATAAGCCCTTCCTTCACATCAGATGCCCCCCATCACATCATAAGCCCTTCCCTCACATCAGATGCCCCCCATCACATCATAGGTCCTTCCTTCACATCAGATGCCCCGCATCACATCATAGGTCCTTCCTTCACATCAGATGCCCCCCATCACATCATAAGCTCTTCCTTCACATCAGATGCCCCCCATCACATCATAGGTCCTTCCTTCACATCAGATGCCCCCCATCACACCATAGGTCCTTCCTTCACATCAGATGCCGCCCATCACATCATAAGCCCTTCCTTCACATCAGATGCCCCCCATCACATCATAAGCCCTTCCTTCACATCAGATGCCGCCCATCACATCATAAGCCCTTCCTTCACATCAGATGCCCCCCATCACCTCATAAGTCATTCCTTCATATCAGAAACCCCCCATCTCATTATAGTCCCCTATCCCTTTACATCGGGGCCCCATCAGAGCCCCTCTTACATCACTGTCGCCATCACAAAGAGAGACCAATTGATCTGAATCCCTAGTCTGTTCACTGATGTAAGGGAATGCCACGGACCCCGGCCACAAATAAAATCTTGTAGTGGGCCACATGTGGGCTGTAGTTTGGAGACCCCTGATCCACAGAATTGTTACACGTAGCTCAGTGAAGCAATTATTGTAGAATGATCATACAATTCATCATTTTCTTTGTTCTGCAGGTTATTGTCAGAATGAGATTCTCTGCGGGTGTACTCCTTTGTCTCTGCCTGATGTTTGGGATTGGATGGACTGAAGAGGTATGTAGATGGAATAAATGGTCACCGAAGTGTAATCTACCATAATTGCTTGTGATTCAGCGGTTTGTTTTCAGATATAAATGGATGTAAGGTATATTCAGTGCCAGGCCAAGGTCATCTAGAGCCCAGGGCAAACATACCGAATTGCACCCCCTCCAAGATGTATGAGCATTATACTGTCAGCAAAAATCCCCACCCCCCCCCAAAAAAAAAAAAAAATCAAGCACTAATCTGCATGCTTACACCCTAAACATAAATCCCCCCTCCTCCCAGCACAAATCTTTGTTCCCCCCCATCCCCCCCAGCTCAAATACTCTCTTCCTCCATGTGCCCAGCACAAATCTCACCCCCCCCCAAAAAATGCCCAAAAAAAAGAAAAAAAATTCCCCTCCTTCCACAAATCCTTTACCCGTCAGATTTCCCCTTCGAGCACAAATCTTCCCCCCAGTCCAAAAATCCCTCTTCCCAGTACAAATTTCCCCTCCTAGCATAAATATCCCCAATCATTTGTACTAGTACAAATCCCCCCCCCCCCCCCCCAAAAAAAAAAAAGAAGAATAAAAAATAGCCCTTCCCCCTCTACCATATCGCCTTTTCCAGCACAAGCAACCCAAATCCTCCCTCCTAGCACAAATCCTCTTTTCCCACTCCCAACACAAAATCCCCCCAAATCACCACTCCTAGCACACCTCCCAAAATTTACCCTCCTGGAACTATTCTTACCCCAAGTCCCCCCCTCCCAACACAAATACCTCCCCCCAGTCTCCTAATGGTGCCCCCTACCTCATATGATACCACAGTGCCTGGGACAGCTGCCCTTCCTGCTCACCCCTTGTCCCAGCCCTGGTTATATTTATCAAACACGGCTCAAAAAATTCAAAGGAACACTTTGAAAACACATCAGATCTCAATGGGGAAAAATCTCCTGCTGGATCTCTGTACTGATACGGACGGGGTAATGTGTGAGGAACGTAAGGATGTCCCATCGTTTGATTTTTTGGGTGTCTTTGAATTCAGTCCTCCTGTAGGTTGACCATTTTCATTTCCTTCAAAGTGAAAAAATGATGCAGCAGGCTAGTCCATTTTTCTGAAATTTCATTGCAGCAACTCAGAGTGGTTCACAGTAGTTTGTATGGCCCCAAATGCTTGTATGCATGCCTGACAACGTTAGGGCATGCTCCTAATGAGACCACGGATGGTGTCCTGGGGGATTTCCTTCCAGCTCTGGACCAGGGCATCACTGAGCTCCTGGACAGTCTGAGGTACAACCTGGCGGTGTCAGATGGACCGAGACATTATATGTCTGAGGTGTTCTATTGGATTTAAGTCAGGCGAGCGTGGGGGCCATTCAATGGTATCAATTCCTTCATCCTCCAGGAACTGCCTGCATACTCTCGCCACATGAGGCCGGTCATTGTCGTGCACCAGGAGGAACCCAGGACCCACTGTACCAGCGTAGGGTCTGACAATGGGTCCAAGGATTTCATCCAGATACCTAATGGCAGTCAGGGTGCCATTTTCTAGCCTGTAGAGTTCTGTGCGTCCCTCCATGGATATGCCTCTCCAGACCACCATCACTGACCCACCATCAAAACGGTCATGCTGAACCATGTTACAGGCAGCAGAATGTTCTCCACGGCTTCTCCAGACCCTTTCACGTCTGTCACATGTGCTCAGATTGAACCTGCTCTCATCTATGAAAAGCACAGGGTGCCGGGGGTGGACCTGCCAATTCTGGTGTTCAATGGCAAATGCCAATCCAGCTCTATGGTGCCGGGCAGTGAGCACAAGGCCCACTAGAGGACGTCGGGCCCTCAGGCCACCCTCATGAAGTCTGTTTCTGATTGTTTGGTCAGACATTCACACCTATGACCTGCTGGAGGTCATTTTGTAGGGCTCTGGCAGTGCTCATCCTGTTTCCCCCTTGCACAAAGGAGCAGATACTGGTCCTGCTGATGGGTTAAGGACCTTCTCTGGCCCTGTCCAGCTCTCCTAAAGTAACTGCCTGTCTCCTGGAATCTCCTCCATGCTCTTGAGACTGTGCTGGGAGACACAGCACACGTTCTGGCAATGGCACGTATTGATGTGCCATCCTGTAGGAGTTGGACTGCCTGTGCAACCTCTGTAGGGTCCAGGTATCTCCTACCTGTAGTGACACTGACCGTAGCCAAATGCAAAACTAGTGAAAAACAGTCAGAAAAGATGAGTAGAGAAAAAATTTTAAGTGGCCTCCAACTGTACAACCATTCCTGTTTTGGGGGTAGTCTCATTGTTGCCCATCTAGTGCACCTGTTGATAATTTAATTAACACCAAAGCAGCTGAAACTGATTAAAAACCCCCTCTTCTACTTACCTGACCAGATCAATGTCCTAGGAATTTCATTGACACGATGCTAGACTCTGATTAAAAATTCTTCCTTTAATTTTTTTTGAGCCGTGTGTGACATCTCTACACAAGCCTTTTTGTAATGTACAGCTGATATAGATGACCTTCTAGCTCTGTCTCCAATTGCATGTTTTATACTAGCAAGAGTTAAGACAGCTTTGCACCAAACAAAAGGTGTCCAAAGTCTTACATTGCATTTTCTTTATAAAGCAGCCCCAGCAAGTGTAGAGAAGCCTGTCCCCTGCCAGCATGCTGTAGAGAAGTACCGCTTTTCTCTTTGCGGAAGCAGTAGTCTCTCTGCAGAGGTTAGACACACACCCCGGTTAAGTCAGAGCTATAGTTGTGCAATAAATAAAGCTAATGCTCCCTGATGGTCGGAGATCTGTAGCTCTGACTCTGGCAAGAGGCGTGTTGGACCTCTGCAGAGAGACCACTGCTTTCACACAGAAATCAAGGGGCCTTCTCTGCAGCATATGGCAGGGGACAGAGTTTTTTGTGAAGGATGTGGCTGCTTTCCAAAGAAAACCAACTGTAAGACTTCAGCCACCTTCTGTCTTGGTGCACCTGGAATGTAGTTTGCTGATATAAAGTAATGTTTCAACGGGACTTTAAAACTCATGTAACAGGGCAGTGAACAGAGGCATCCAAAGAGAAGGGGAGGAGTCACTGTGTACAATTCAGCTTGAGCTATTGAGCTCAGCAACCAATAGGGAAGCCTGAAAAGTGCAATAAGGAGTTGAAAAATTTTGCTTTCCTGCATTTGAAAATACAAACTAGTTTATATACAATATTCAGATTTACCTGATTAGAAACATTAAAGTTGTATTTTTAAATTGAAACCCTAAGTAAGGAAACAAAGCATGTAAAAAAACTGTATATTCCCTTTAGTAAGGCGGGGGAGGGGTGAAGCAAGGCTGGCAAACTGAAGATCAGTGTTCACAGGCTTCAGACTTGTGTTGATGTCATCAGTTTGAGATCTTCTGACCTGCTTGCATCCCCATAGACTTGTAGCGAACAAAAGCCCGTTGATGCAGGACCTTATATCTCCATCACAGATATGCAAAAACAGAGGCCAGTTAGTCATCACATTAGTGGGCAATGGGAGGGGAGCTGAGAACATGGGAGAAACTCACAAAGATACAAGAAGAACATACAGATTCCATGAAGGTACCATTCCTGGTAGTGGAACCCAGGACGACATCATTGTAAACCCTCCATGCCATCTACTAATCTGCTGTGATGGAGTTTGTATGTTCTCCCGTTCTTGTGGAGGTTCCTCATGGGTACTTTGATTACTTTCCACAGACCAAAAAAAAAAAATTCTGGTGGGTCAACCGATTTCTGATTATTCTGACCCAAAATTCTACATGTGCATGTATGACTGTAGTATGACCACAGCGGAGTTCTTCTGATTATTGCAGGAAATCACTCTAAATATGAATGACAACGCATTTGATGATCAGTACGAAGGCTGCACAGAAGAGATGGAAAGTAAAATAATAAATTCCCTACTTGCTGAAGAAAAACGGGCTGACTCAGTGTTTAATAGAACTTGGGATGAGGCAAAAAAGAAGTGGGACACTGAGAAACCGAGTGTACCAGACGGCTTTCGGGATGAGTACGGCATTGCCATTATGGCATATTCCAACAAAAGTTCCGATCTTTATTCTAGCTTCAACAGGGCAGTGAGAGATTATAGCAGTAGGGACACGTTCCATTACCATTCTCTTCACTTCTTCATTACGCGCGCTGTAGTGCTCCTTCGGTCGACTTGTTCGCACTCGGTATACAGAGGGATAAAAAACATACGTTTCAAAAATGAAACAAATGTGGGAAAAGTCAGATTCGGTCAGTTTGCTTCTTCATCCACCAACCACACAGTAGCAAAGAACTTTGGAGATGACACGTTCTTCAACATCACCAGCTGCTTCGGTGCCGACATCAAAAAGTATTCCTATTATCCAAAGCAAGAGGAGGTTCTGATACCAGTAGACGAGGTTTTCGAAGTGACCAAGGTTATAGAGCAGGATGGTAAAGGAAGATTTGTCCTTAAAACTACAAACAGATGTCACTACTACAATTGTGACTACCTATGTAATGGTTAGTAAACTTTACTTATTTGACTTACTTGTTTGGTTTGGGCTTTAGTTGTAGGTCCAACTAAATATACACAAGAACCCTCCTATAGTGTGTACTTGTCTCAATCCAGACTGCTAAGTGTAGTTTCTGTGTGCTGCCTCCTTCCTCTGCATTCAGCATGAATCACTTCTTACAAGTTTTCCTGACACCAAGAGAAAAATGGTGACAAGGGAGGGAGCTCCAGCAAATTGACAGTCTCAGCTCTGTTCCTGTGTGCTGTGTGGAGGGGGTGTATCCAGGGTTTATTTACCACCAGGCAAAAAAGGCGTCTGCCTTGGGCAGCAATTTTCAGGGGCCGGCACCGCCCCACAGAAGAAGTGACACTCTTGTGGCAATGGCACACAGGAGCCGTTATGTTTGCAGGCTTGCAGCAGTCTCCACTACATGGAACCCGAACCACGAGAGGACGGTGGTCGCTGGATCTGAAGGCCACACACAGGCCGGAGCTGGTAGAGAGGAGGAGCCGAGCAACCGGACGAGGATGGAGCCTCCGCTGATCGGTGAGTACTGCCCAAGAGCGGCCAGAGCTTGGCTCTGCCCATTGTCTGTGTGGAATTCTGGGGAAGGAAGAGTGGAGGGTGCCGGCTGTGGATGGGAGAGGGAGCCAAGCATGGGGGAGGGGAGATGGCTGGGGATGAGGAGGGCACACACGATTTTTGTGTTGACTACGGCAGAACAAAACCTAAATAGGCCACTAAGTGTGTCTCTTCCCTCCAATCAAATCTCTAAGAGTTCTCCTCATTGGCCTCTGCAGAGTGTAAGTCAGCTGTCCGCCCTGTTTTCTGAACTCCCAGGCAAGCTTTATAAATTCAGCACTTTGAAGGGATGTAGAGAAGACTGCAGATAAACAGGTACAACTTATGTAGGAGGATTTGTTTCATCTCTGTGTATCACCTGAGGCCAGTCACTGCACTGGGAACATGTAAGGGTTCACAACCACTTTTAACACCACAGAAATGACCTACAGTAATGAATTCTATGCAGTAAGTACATAGATTGTCAGGCTGAAAAAGACACAAGTCCATTGAGCTTGACCAATAGTGAAATTAATTAAAAAAACCTGCAATTTACAAAGAAATAAACCCGCAGTTGATCCAGAGGAAAATAAAACTTGCTGCAACAGGGTCCCAGTTTAGACCCCTGATATCTCACCACAAACCCCCACTACAGTAAAAAAATAAAGCGATATGAATAACAAAAAAACAACAAATAAAAAAAAAATAATTACAAAAAAATTTAAAAAATAATCTAAAAAAATTGTAAAATATAATTTTTCAAAATTGTAAGAAATACAATAAAAATTTGTAAAAAAAAATATTTTAAAAAATGAAGGGCTCATTTACACGGGCTCTTGGCCCATACAAAGTGAATGAGCTGTCTGTGTGGCGGGAACCTTCTGTTACTCTATTAGGAGTAGGTGTGTGAATATCCCTGAATACACTGTCCATACACATGTTTGTGTCCGCTAATAATGATTTTGGTGCATTTTTAACCCCTCGCCTACCGGGCACTTATACCCCCTTCCTGTCCAGGCCAATTTTCAGTTTCAGTGCTGTCGCACTTTGAATGACAATTGCATGGTCATGCAACACTGCACCTATATGAAATTTTGTATCATGTTTTTTCTCACAAATGGAGCTTTCTTTTGGTGGTATTTAATCGCTGCTGGGTGTTTTATTTTTTGAATAAACAAAAAAAAAAGAGCAAAAAATTTATATTAAAAAAAGGGTTTTTCTGTTTCTATTATAAAATTTAGCAAAACAGGTAATTTTTTCTCCTTCGCTGATGTGCGTTAATTAGGTGGCACTGATAGGCAGCACTGATGAGGTGGCACTGATAGGCAGCACTGATGAGCTGGCACTGATAGGCAGCACTGATGAGGTGGCACTGATAGGCAGCACTGATGAGGTGGCACAGTTAGGCAGCACTGATAGACTTCACTGATATGCAGTAATGATCGGTGCTGATGGGTGTGACGGTTGTGCGCGGCGTCAGACCCCAGCCCTTCTCACCAACTTGTGACCGAAGGACCAGCCGATCTAAGACCGCGCTGCCACTTGCATAACAATGCCACACTCAGCTGCACCCTGCACAAAGATTTTCCAGCTCACTGGACCCCAATCTATGTGCCAGTAGCCTGAGAGCGATTGTTACTGGGTCAGGTTAAATTATGCAATTAACCCTTCACACTGCACCACCGCCTTTTTAACAGAGAAGGAAGGAAACTCACAAATCTTATCAGTAACACTATGATGTTTGAATAAGCGTCTGTATACACACTGTCCCCGCAGGACAGATGTATGCAGAGGGTTAATACATACAGTAGCACTCTCCAGAGACAGGGATTCTTTTAGTTTGCATTAAAAGCTTTAGAGACTGTTTTAACACTTTTTTCGGAAAATCGGGATTTAATTACTAAAAAGGTCAAAATGGTGCAATTAAAATTGTTTACAGAACAGATGTAACAAATTATATATATATATATATATATATATATATATATATATATATATATATTAGAGAGAGCAATAAAACAGAGGAATAAAAGAGAAAATTCAGAAGGCAGGATACTTTCAAGAGTACTTGGTTTGAGCAGAATCCAGTCGTCCGAACAAAAAGGTTGCCTTTCTCCCAAAGATGTTCCTGATGTTAAAAGGGAGGTATCTCTTCTTCTTTCCTCTCTCCAGGCATGTCAGCCTTTTTTCTAGTAGCCCAAAGGGGGTGTCTCCTGAAAGCAAAGGGCCAGTTGCCTTATTTGGGGATGGGTGTTAGGTGGGGACCCAGGCTATGACCAAATTCCTTACAAGTTTATACCATGGTCAATAACCTTCAATAGGTAAAGGTAGCATCCTAGTAACTGGCAGATTAATATGCAGAATCATATTCCGAACATCCAGATATCAATTATGGCATATCCTGCCACTCCGGATAAAAATATATTGCTTTCTACCCTCTTGTAGACGCCACATAGGGATGTAAGATGTCATGTGACTTGTATTAAAAATGACCTATCTGAATATATGCTTTATATCAATGTGCCCTAGTTCCTGCTAAAGTTATGAATTTGTATGAAAAATGACTCGTGGGATGTACGTTTTTATGGCCTTTGCTGTAATGCTTACATGTCAAGTGACCGACCGAGTTATAGTTTTACGGCCAGCAGAGGAAAGGGTTTGTCAGATACTCTGGCACCAGGCTAACTGAGCTTACAGCCATGAAGCATATCCAGCTGTGCCTTATGCACTTGTGACCCCAGTGCACACACAGACCACATTCCATTCAAAGGGGAGGGGGGGGACTGGACGGACTGCGAATTATATTTTCAGATCATGATACAAGATGGTAGACCTTAACAAAATGATGGTCAGCGTCCATGTGTCTAAGTGCACAATTATCACAATGGGCACTGAGAGGCAGCACTGATGGGCAATGATGGGTGACACTGGTGGGTGGCACTGATGGGTAGCACTGGTGGGGGCACTAATGGGTGGCCAATCTATTCTGTGACAATAGTAGACTGTACAGGGCCTCATGATTTCTAACAGCCCTGGCTATGCCAAATTAAAAATTTTAAATAATTGCCAAATTAACATAATCTGATATAATATGTGTTCTAATGATTTTACCCTGTATAAAGCAAAACTGCAAAAAACCAAAAAAACAAAAACGTAATTAAATTAATGCTCACTGCGCTGGCTGTATTCCTTGTTGTTGTAGCTGCTGTGTTCTTGCTGTGATGTGACATATCTGGTCATTATTTTTACAGGTGGAAAATCCTCTACATGTATCTCCATTAGTGGTGAGTATGAAACCCTCTCCTAAACTAATCATGAATACTATTACTTCTATCACAAGAAAGATAGAATATGTATTTCTTGATAGGAAACCCAAAAACCTCAAAGAGAATTATTCCATACTTCCTAGTTCTACCTTTTTTATAGAGGGTCATGCTGAAGGGGTGTGATATCCTGGTGGTGGGTGGAACTACACATTTTCGAGAAAAGGCCAGCAACTGTATTTACTCGGTGATCTGCTGTGTCATTGGACTGATCACGTGGTAAAAGGTCGCTGTGATTGGCCTGTTTGCCGCATCATGTGGTTAGCTGTGTCTGTAGGACACAGCGATCACAGAGATTGCCGGCAGGTGTGCGCGCCGCTGGGGGCATGCGGGAGGGCGTGTTCTGGGAGGACGTCATATGACGCCCTCCCAGAACTGGGCAACCGAGCTGTAGTTGTCATTTGGCTATAATACGATTGGCAAGTGGTTAATGAAAAATAATTTTGATAAGTTCTGGGGGGGCTGCGGTGGAGCTGTCAGTAGGCTGTACAGGACCCCATGATTTCTAACAGCAGCCCTGGCCATACCAAATGAAACATTTTTTAAATAATTGCGAAATGAACATAATCTGATATAGCTGCTTTCCTCTGGGTAAATGCATCTATCTCCTATCTCCGCTCTTAACTAGAAAAACGCAAGCATTGACTCTGTCAGGATCCGGGTGTTCTGCGGCATCGCGTCAGGCGGCGCATGCGCAGAACACCAACACTCACTATCCGGCGGGTGATAGGACCTGGACGCGCATGGCAGCGGCGGGGTTCACGCATGCGCACTCGGGATCGCGGACGCGCGCCTGGCACCAATGACAGCGGGAGGCGGGCTATTTAAACATAGGAACAGGTATGTCAAGTTGCCGTTTGGTCTTGTGTCTTGTATCCTGTTCCTGTGTTGCAGTATACTCCGTTGCCGACCTCTGCTTGTTCCTGATCCTGCTCTTCTCCTGCTTAACCCCCTGGCTTGCCTGACTACTCTTCCGTCTGATCCCTGGTACTGTATTTTGCCCGCATCCCTGCTGAACCTGGCTTGTGACCTGACCATTCTTAGCTCGCTCCTCTTGTACCTCGCATAATACCGACCCGGCCTGTCTGACCACGCATACCTTACCTGACCATCCATCCGGCTCGGATC